CCTGCCAACACAGTGTGGAAGCTGAAGCGCCCAGTGTATGGCCTCAAGCAGGCTCCTCGTAAGTGGCACAACAAGGTGAAGGAAGTCCTCCTCGCACTTGACTTCCATCCCTCTGCCTCAGATTCCAGTCTCTTCGTCGTCACTCCTCCGAGCCCTTCTACATCCTCGTCTACGTCGACGACTTCATTCTAGCCGCTAGAGATCCAGCCGACATGGCAGCAGTCCAGTCTGCTCTCAGCTCCGCCCTTCTCATGAAGGATCTTGGTGACCTCAAGAACTACCTGGGGATGGAGATCACTCGTGACCGCCAGGCTTGCACGATCACCCTCTCCCAGGAGTCCTACATCGACAACCTTCTCAAGCAGTTCGACATGGACTCCAGTAACTCTGTCTCCACTCCACTCCCACTACAGCATCAGCTCACGGCCCCTCCAGTTCCTTCTCCTGACGCCTGCAAGGGCCCGTACCCTGAGCTAGTCGGTTCACTCATGTATGCCATGATGTGCACTCGACCAGACTTGGCTTACCCGGTTAGTGTCCTCTCTCGGTACGTCTCCCCCGGACGCTACACTGCCTCGCATTGGTCTGCAGCCAAGAGGGTCCTCCGCTATCTACAAGCCACCAAGTCTCACATCCTCACTCTTGGTGGTACCTCTCCAGTCAAGCTCGAGGGATACACAGACTCCTCATGGGCCGATGACCAGACTGACAGACGCTCCTCCCAAGGGTACTGCTTCACCCTTGGTAGCGGAGTCATCAGCTGGCGCTCCACTCGGTCCTCTGCAGTCTCCCTGTCGTCCTGCGAGGCCGAGCTCTACGCGGGCACAATGGCTGCTCAAGAGGCACGCTGGCTCTCCTTTCTCCTCGCTGAGTTAGGCTACCCCCAGCAGTCGCCCACCCTGTGGTGTGACAACCAGAGTGCCATTCACCTCACCAAGGATCCTGTGTTCCACTCTCGCACCAAGCACATCGAACTTCGTCATTTCTTCATCCGAGATCTTGTTCAGAGTGACCAGCTGACGGTACGGTACATCGCCTCAGATTGCAACCTCGCCGACCTCTTTACCAAGGCTCTCGGCAAGGCTGACCACCATCGCCTTCTCCGTTCCATAGGGCTATGTGCTCCTTGACCGGGTTTGCAGTCTATGGGGGTGTGTTAGAAATAGACTGCAAATACCACTTTTGTATTTGTACTTTTATATCCTAGTTTCGGTTGTGAATGTTCTAGTGGGTTGGGGTGTACTCACAAATCCCAACCTCACCCAATTGTGATCCCCACAATCTCCAATTACCCAATTGGAGATTTCGGAGATCCCAATGGGGATTCCCTCCAATTCCCCCATCATCCATTCTCTCTCACCTTGCCATGTACTTATAGAGCCTTGGGCTCCTTACCTAATCAATCATTTCAACTCTATTTCTTACAGGAGTGGGGCGCACGGTGCAGCCGTCCCTCGACGCAGGGCGTGCACGGCGGCGCGGGGGAGGGAGGGAGGGCAGGGAGTGACGTAGTGAGACCTAGGACAAGACCGTGATTGGACATGTTACACAGACGCACGAGTGCAGGGTGACCTAGGCGCTGGTGCCACAGAAGCGACGGGTGGGTGAGTGAACTACACAAGCAACCTAGGAGGGCACGGCCACCTGGGGGGGCACTCCCACCGGGGGGGACGTGGTGTCTAGGGTGAGAAAGCTAGACACCAGGTCCCTTGGGAACGTGGTGAGAGGGCACTAGTGGCGGCCTCGGTATAGACTGCGTACCGCTTGTGTTCAGGAAACGTAGTAGTAACGCGGAGGTCCTGAAGACAGCCAACACCAACTAGGTTCCTAGAGAACGAGGGGATGTGCAAGCCTGTAAGAGAGCCCGAGGGAACCGCCGAACAAGGAAGGGTAGTGGAGCTACTGTACGTGCAACTACCGGACCTGAGGGGGGGTCAACAAGCGCTATAGCGGCAGGGGCGGCAAGCAGGGTGAGCGCAGTGTGGTCGCAAAAGAAGCAGGCGGACGCACCAGAGTCTAGAGTAAAAAAGAGCGTGGCGGTAGCGGCCGCAGGCAGAGGAGCTAGAGTGAAGCCGAGGCTAAGCAAGGCAGGCGTTCCTACGCTGACGCAGCAAGGGAACCTAGGCTACACACAGTGGACACTGTTAGAATATGTTAGAAACAGAAAGTTTCAGTTTATTGATGAAGCAAAGGCATTACATAGGAAGAGAGAGATGAGCTAGGAAGGGAAGGTTGGAAGGGAAGGGGGGGTTAGGACCAATCACAAGGGAGGGAGGATCCTTCCAAATGTGGTTGACCACCAGTTGGAGGTGGTCCAAGTGTGGTGTACCACCAGTGGTTTAGCCAACCCACTTGTGGTGCCCCCACAATTGTGGTCCTTGTGTTTGGGGGCTCCAACCACAATTGGGTTGGATTGACACCCCAATACAGGTGTACACCCAACTAGGGATGTAAACACAATATACACAACTAGCATAGCATGGTATATTCTAACACAACCCCATAGCATGCAAAGCTAGTGTATATGTAGGGTACAACCCCAGAATCAGGAAGGGGGGCGGGGCCCAAGGCCGAGAAGGCGGAGGAGGGCAGAGTGCGCGGTCTTCGGGAGGGCCTTGGTGAAGATGTCGGCCAAGTTGGCCTCTGCAGCGATCTTGCGGACCACCAAGTGACCTTGCTGGACCAACTCTCGAACGAAGAAGTAGTGGAGTTCAATGTGCTTGGAGCGGCCATGGAAGACAGGGTCCTTTGTGAGATGGATGGTGCTGGCGTTGTCGCACCAGAGGGTGGGACAGCGCTGAGGAGCACCGATCTCAGCAAGGAGGAAGGTGAGCCAGCGAGCCTCCTGAGCGGCCATGGTGCAAGCATAGAGCTCAGCCTCGCAGGATGAGAGGGCGATGGAGGAGGAGCGAGTGGAGCGCCAGCTGATGAGGCCGCTGCCAAGGGTGAAGCCGTAGCCTTGAGAGGAACGGCGATCCGGCTGGGAGTCAGCCCAGGAGGAGTCACTGAAGCCAGAGAGGAGGGGAGGAGAAGAGCCTCCGAGGGTGAGGACATAGTCATTGGTACCACGGAGGTAGCGGAGGACCCGCTTCGCTGCAGCCCAGTGCTCATCAGTGTGGCGACCGGTACCGACGAATCGAGCAAGAACACTGATGGGGTAGGCAAGGTCGGGGCGGGTGCACATCATAGCGTACATCAGCGAGCCGACGAGCTCAGCGTAAGGATGGTCAGAGGAGGAGGGAGCAGGAGGAGGGCAAGCTGGTGGTCGGTCTGCAGGGGAGTGGTAACCAGCTGGCCTGCGCCATGTCGAACCACTGCAAGACTGGTCGATGTAGAAGGACTGAGAGAGGGTAATGGTGCGCGATGTGCGGTCCGGGTGATGGTCATGCCAGATAGTGCTTGAGCTCACCAGGTCCTTGCACTTGATGTTGGTTAGAGAAGACTATAAGCAGATGATTCAATGGCTCCTTGGAAATTTCTGCAGCACTTCGTTATGACGCCCAGAAAACTTGCGACCTTCGAATAGCTATATCCAAAACTCCAATCGGTGAAACGATCTGAAAATCGGATATGCTGTAGCTGCAGCGTCAGCTTTCCACTGAAAGTTGAAGCACTCGATTCCGTAGCTTAACGAGTGAGCTATGGTGTTTGGCGCAGTGGGGGGTAATCTGCCCTAGGAGAAGTTGACAGTCCTCAGAGTCACTATGATTGAAGCTTACAAGTTCAGAGGCATGATAGAAAAGGCATTGAAGCACAGTTGGAAGGTGGGGTAGGAAGGGAAGGATGAAAGGGAAGGACCCTGGAGGCCCATGGTCAAGAACATGACAAGAGTCAAAGTTTTGACTCCCCATCCTCAGGTTCAGCCAGCCTGGCAAGACAAATTCACACTGTGCCAGATTGGCCTCCAAACCCCAAATGCTGCAGCTGCAAGGTGGGACAAAAGTCCCACACATGCTGGTCCCTCCTCGTTATAGGGCTCTCCAACTTTGGTGTAGCAGCTGACAAGGACTTCCAATGAGTTGTAACAAATCCATCAAACATTTCTTCGTAACTTCTTCGCATGTGCTCCGATTCCAACAATTCTTGGCTCGTTGGAATGTGCTCGATGTCATGCACAATCCAAGCACATCTGCACAAGCACAAGATGAACATGCAAAGACATGCAAACCCAACAAACCATACAAACAACGTAGCACACAAAACACATGCAAACGAAATGATGCGAACAGACGACAGGATGACGTGCAAATGAATATGCACCAACACACTCCCCCTCAGACTGTCGGCTTGTTTCGCCATCTCTAGTTCAAGGACATTCCCGCCATCCTCGCACAGCGCCAGTGTGGCTCTTCAGCTAGCCGCTTGGTAAGGAAGTCGGCTGGCTGTTGCTGAGTTTTCACGTAGATCGGATCCAGTGTCCCAAGCTTCACCTCCTTCCGCAGCCAATGCCACTTGATCCTCATGTGCTTGTTCAACCCTTGAAGAACTGCGTTGCGTGCCATGGCAATGGCTCCCTTGCTGTCACTGAACAGAGGTGTCGCACAAGTCTGTTCATGGCCGATCTCCTTCAAGAGCCTCCTTAGCCAGATGATTTCTTTTGCCGCATGAAACATCGCCATGTACTCAGATTCCACTGAAGATAGTGCCGTCTCAGACTGCTTTTGGACCTCCAACTTACAGGCCCACCTCCCACCATGCAGATGTATCCACCAACTGATGATGAATCCTCATGCTCAGAAGCCCACGTGGCATCAGCAAAACAGGAAAGGAACACCTTTCCTTCTCCGAGCTGCTCCCCCTTCTCTTTGAGGACTTCAATCCTTTTTGACTGAGTTGAGCAGAGGCTGAATACTGTACTCCCATTGTAGGGTATGACTTGAGGTAGCGCACCACTCTCTTCGCTGCACCACACTGCTCTTCTGTTGGATTTTGCACTACTCAGCTACAGCAAAGCTGATGTCAGGCCGAGTATGCACAGCAGCGTAGAGTAGGCTCCCGACCATGGATTGGAATTGCCTCTGGTCTTCACTCTCAACTCCTTCTCCTTCAGCTGCCTTTATGAGTTTGAACTCGGAAGGCAAAGGTGTGACCACTTCCCGTTCTTCCTGCAGAGCGTACTTCTCAGCCAAGGTGATGATGTACTGTCCCTGATGCAGTTTGAGCCAGCCACGTTCAGTATCCCGCTCAATGTGCATTCCCAGGTAGTACCTTGCCTCTCCAAGTGACTTGCACTTGAACTGCTCTGTGAGCTTCCGCTGCACCCCATCGATCTCCTTGTCACTGCTGCTGAAGAGCAGGATGTCATCCACGTACACCAGCAGAAGCACAAGTGACTCCCCCTCTCCCATCAGGAATAGGCTCTCGTCGCATGCACTCGCACGGAATCCAATCCCTTCCAGTGCACTGGCCAGCCTGTTGTACCAGCATCTCGGGGCCTGCTTCAAGCCATAGATGGCCTTGTTAAGTTTGCAGACACGACCGGTTCCATCCTCATAGCCAGGTGGTTGAACCATGTACACCTCCTCTTCCACAATGCCGTACAGAAAAGCGGTTACGATGTCCATCTGCTTCACCTTCCATTTGCGCACAGCAGCTACCGCCAGCAGCACACGTAGCGTTGGAGACTTAGCAGTTGGGGCAAACACTTCTTTGTAATCTTCCTTCTCTTTCTGCTGAAACCCCTTTGCCACCAGCCTGCTCTTGTAAACTGATGGCTCTCCTTTCTCATCCGTCTTGATTTTGCCAGCCACTTGCACTGTATTGCCTTCTTCCCATTTGGCAAGTACACCAGGTCCCATGTGTGATTCTCCATCTGGCTGTTGTACTCTGCATCTCTTGAAACGAGCCACTTCCCCCGTTGAGGCCCGGCTAGCGCATGATCCATGCTCGGAGGTTGTATTGGTGCGTAAAAGCAGTATGCAGGCTCCTCGTCATCTGACTCTTGGTCATCACCCAAGAACAGCACTGCATCTTCGCCTTGAGCCTGTTCCTGCTGCTCAGTTGTGGCTCCTCCACTTGTGGAGCTCAGCAGCTTTCTTGTTGCCATTCTGGTACGTGCAGGGTAGATGGTTGGATTTACCCATTCTTTCACCTTCACCCATCCTTTGTCCCCCCACCAATCTGTTTCCTTCGCTTTGGCAGACTTGGTGTTTTGGAAGCCTCTTGCTGCTGCTGCTCCGGATCCTTGACTTCAGCATCAGCTGCAATATCCTCATTGCTTCCTTCATCAGTACCGCTTGCCGTTGGCGCAGTGACTTCGCTGTCCTCAGGTTCGGACACATCGAAGTGCATAGTGATCTCTTCCAGCTGCTGGGTGACCCTTGCCTCCGGCTGCTTCTCCCACTTGCCATACATGATGTTCTCCACAAATTTGACATCCCGACTGTCAAACAGCACATTCTTCGAGGGCTCCCAGAGTAGCCACCCCTTGCTCTCTGCCGCAAGCCCAAGGTGCACACACCACAGTGCAGATGCTCCAAGCTTTGTCCTGTACGGTTTAGGGACATGCGACACTGCCATGCATCCGAACACTCGAAGCATGTCCACTGGAGGCTTCTTTCCAAGCCACCTCTCCAGCGGCACCCACATATCATCAGCCACCTTTGTGAGTACGCGGTTCCTTGCCACTGTAGCATGCCTCACCGCATGAGGCCACATGGAGTTCCCCAGCCCTGATTCGATCAGCAGCGCTCGCGCAGTTTCCAGGATGGTCCTATTAGCCCTCTCAGCAACGCCATTTGACTGAGGGGTATAGGACGTCGTTAGCTGATGCTCAATGCCTTGTTTCTTGAGCCACGCAGTCAGATCTCCTCCTAGAAACTCTCCACCTCGGTCGGTTCTGATGCTCTTGCATGGGTGCCCAGATTGTCGCTCGACGAACGGCAGCCAATCATCTCGTATTGTTGAGGCAGCATGATCCTTCTGCTTCAACGGGTATGCCCACATCAGCCGACTCCAGTCATCAACTATTGTCAGGAAGTACCTTTCCCCCTTACTTCCTCGGACTGGAAAAGGTCCTACCAGGTCCATGTGCACCAGTTCCAGTGCTGCCTTGCTTTTCCCAGCTACGCCGTGAAAGGGGAACCGTGTGAACTTGCTCAGCAGACACGTCTCGCACTTGGTATCATTTGGTTGCCCAGAAAGCTTCAGCCCCTTTACTGCTTCTTCCTTATGCAGTTGCTGCAGCAATGGCATAGCCACATGCCCTAGACGCTTGTGTGCGGTTTCCCAATCAGTCTCCCCCGACCTTGCAGAAACCGTCACTCCTGCAGCACTAACTGCATTACACTCCCCTGGACTCCAGATCACGCCTTTACTTCTCCCAACTCCTTCTTTGTTGATTCCCATATGAGTGCAGGGATCTGCCACATGGATCTGAAGACATCTCTGCTTTCGTGTAAATCCCATAACACACGATCTCCTCGCAGCCCCTTGAATGTTTTGGATCCATTGGTGGTGGTGCTGACTCCGGCCTGGCCTAGCTTGCGCAGCGATATCAGATTGGCCTTCAGCCCCGGTACGAGTAACACGTCCTTCAGCACAACCAGTCCACCATCAGGTGCTCTGAATGCAGCTCGACCAACTCCAGCGACCTTCACTGCATGTCCGGATGCTGAGCGCACTTCAGAGATTGGAGGCGCTCACACAGCATCCAGCAAGTCCTTGCGTGGTGTCATTGTCCATGCAGCACCAGAGTCCATGACCCACATGTCAAGCGGGTGCAATTCCTCTCCAGCCCTTGCAACAGCTGTGCCACTGTCATCTTTGTCACACACATGGTAGAACTGTCCAGCATTCCTCTCCTCATTTCCCATTCCTCTGTCATCCTTGGAGGTTTCTTCAGCAGGATCAGCTACCATGTTGGCACCTCCATGTGGTTGCTTTCCTCCATTCCCTTCTGCGATTGGTTCCAAGGGGTCCACCAGTCGGGCTTGGTAGGGCAGCGAAACCATGGATGCCCTTCTTCCTTGCAATACCAGCACTCTCCCCTCAAGCGTGGTTCACTGTTGTCATTGTTGGAGTGACCACCTCTTCCTCTTGCACCAGCGCCACCACGCCCCGCTGGTTCCAAGTCCCGCAACCACCTTGACTGTGGTAAGAGCGACCGCGATTGCCACGCCCTCGATCCCTCCATGTCCCTTGCATGGCATAGCCGCTGGTGCTGTCATCACCTCCGCGCAGTGTATAGCGACGAAAATCTTCTTCCAGAATCTTGGTGCGAATCCACTCCAATGTCCATTGACTTTGGTTTTGTGGCAAGCTGAGTCCGCTTATAAATTGCAGCCAAGACTCCGGCAGCAGGCTGAGCATCTTGAGACACTTTGTCTGCTCTGGGTACGTGATGCCTGCAATCGCCAATTTCGCGTAGAGTTCCCTCATCTTGTCCAGTACAGGCTGCACAGGTTCATTCTCGCTCAACCGCAGCATGGACAGCTCCCGATCCAGCATGAGAGAAGCGGCAACCGATGTCGGAGCGTGCAGGTCCTTGAGCACTGCCCATGCCTTGGGCCCACAATCAATTTCCGGTAGCAGATGCATGATGTGATGCCTCTGGTTCAGCTCCAAGCTTTGTGACAGTAGATAATACCCAGCAGATGAACGTTCATCCCAGTCCGCTTGCTCTGCCATTTCCTTTGGCCTTGGCTCCGTTCCAATCATGAGCTTCAAGAGGCCAATTTGTCGAAAGTAGAGCTGCATCTTCCATGCCCAATCATCATAGCCATCTCCAGAGAACTTCTCAATGGTGAAGTTCTTCAGCACCTCCTTAAGCAGTGACCCCTGGCGTGTACGCGCTCCCCTTTGCGCTGCAATGCTAGAATCTTGGGTTGAGCTGCCTCCTTGGACTGAAGTATCACCTCCACCAGAGTCCTCTTTATCTCCCATCGTATTTTAGGTCCCAAATGCGTGATAATAGGCTCTGATACCACTTGTTGGTTAGAGAAGGCTATAAGCAGATGATTCAATGGCTCCTTGGAAATTTCTGCAGCACTTCGTTATGACGCCCAGAAAACTCGCGACCGTCGAATAGCTATATCCAAAACTCCAATCGGTGAAACGATCTGAAAATCGGATATGTTGTAGCTGACAGCGTCAGCTTTCCACTGAAAGTTGAATCACTCAATTCCGTAGCTTAACGAGTGAGCTATGGCGTTTGGCGCACTGGGGGGTAATCTGCCCTAGGAGAAGTTGACAGTCCTCAGAGTCACTATGATTGAAGCTTACAAGATCAGAGGCATGATCGAAAAGGCATTGAAGCACAGTTGGAAGGTGGGGTAGGAAGGGAAGGATGAAGGGGAAGGACCCTGGAGGCCCATGGTCAAGAACATGACAAGAGTCAAAGTTTTGACTCCCCATCCTCAGGTTCAGCCAGCCTGGCAAGACAAAATTCACACTGTGCCAGGTTGGCCTCCAAACCCCAAATGCTGCAGCTGCAAGGTGGGGACAAAAGTCCCACACATGCTGGTCCCTCCTCGTTATAGGGCTCTCCAACTTTGGTGTAGCAGCTGACAAGGACTTCCAATGAGTTGTAACAAATCCATCAAACATTTCTTCGTAACTTCTTCATATGTGCTCCGATTCCAACAATTCTTGGCTCGTTGGAATGTGCTCGATGTCATGCACAATCCAAGCACATCTCCACAAGCACAAGATGAACATGCAAAGACATGCAAACCCAACAAACCATACAAACAACGTAGCACACAAAACACATGCAAACGAAATGATGCGAACAGACGACAGGAAGACGTGCAAATGAATATGCACCAACACTTGAGGCGCGCATGCAGGGCGTCCTTCACTTGCTGCATGTCAGAACTCAGTCACTAACCACTGAGTTAAAAGGGCTTGTGAAGTACGCGCCCACAACCCCCCAGGCTCTGCACCTGTGGCCCTTCCCCAAGGATCTCAAGGGCAACCCCAGCAAGTCTCCGACATGCTCCTCGTGCCCTTCACTCCTCCCTGCTTCATCGTCCGTTCTCGCAGATTGCCCACCACATGCTATCTCCTCGCCCACCTGCCAACTGGGGCGTTGCTCCTCCGGCTGGGCTTCTCTCGTCCTGCTCGGTGAACGTCGACTCAAGTGGCTACACAGTCGCTCGGCCTAAGGATCTAGAGGCACAATAGGCGCCTGGCCGGATTGTAAGCGTGCAATTTCTGTCCTGGTGGGGATCCTCTCTTATCCGTTGCCCCCAACTGACCTGTTTTTTCCACCCGTTCCTCCTATTTCCTGGAGCGCCCTGCTCCTTCCTCATGCCAGCTCGTGTCTGTTAAATCAACTCAATCGCGTTGTCTACTGCCACGTCATCTTTCGTGCAGCTCTTTGGCCCTCATTATTCAATTCGCACCCCTGCCTTGAACCTTCCTTCACTCTTCTCATCTCTGCCTCACCTCGCCACTCACGTACAGCAAGCTTTCCTGCTGCCGCCTATTACTAGTAAACCCCCCCCTTTCCTTCTTCTACTGCCGCTCACCCATCCTTCTGGCGCCGCTCTCAAGGCCTCCTTTGCCGCCGCACCCCTCTTCTGACACTCCCCTGTTACTGTGCCACAGATCCTCTACATCACCCATGTTCTTTGCCGTGCGTTTCCTATCTATAGGCTTACATACCCCCACCTGCACTGACTGTTCCCCTGCAGAATTAGTAGGCACTCATTGGCAATCATTGGCACAACCAGCTCCCCTAGTTGGCTACCGTTGGCACCTAGCACACTTGCATGTGTTCCTCTTCACCATGCTTACTTGACCCCCTGACTGTCCACCTTGCCGCCCACTGGCCATGCCTGCAAACCTTTTGTTGTGTCAGACGCTACCGCTAGCACAGCCACGTGCTCCCACGCCTCACGTTGAGGTCCTCGAGCAGCCATGTGGATTGCACCGTGCAACGGGTATATGTTATAGGTTTGCAAGCGCCTCCGGCTGACGTTGCAGAAACTGTGTGACTTTGAAAGTTTCAGCAATTTCCAGGGGAGAATTTGCACTGAAGACGAGTTGTATTTGAACAAGAAACAAACAAGCTTTTATAAGCAGTCAGAAAGATTGTGCGGTTCGCATAACGCGGATGTAGCACTGTGCAACCTCGGAATTCTGCCAAACGCGGAATTCTGGCAACCGCGGAAACGGATTTCGGTAACCGACACTAGGTCCGAAACCGACACCGATTTTGGTTCTCCAGAATTCAACTATGCGCGCTCCGGGTCTGTGTTGCAGGTTTTCCTGCAGCAGTTTCCTCCACGGCAACAGAAAGAGCATTTCCAAGCTGCTGTTCCCTCACGCAAGTCAGAACAATCCCAATCTCCCCATTTTTTAAGGTTTTCTTCTACCGATATCTTCCATTTCTTCCTCGCTGATTTTCCTTGTTCCATCGTTGTTCCGCCACTTCCGCCACTGCATTTAGGGTTCCCCATTTTTCTTATTGCCATCATTCTCTCCCTTTTCATCCGTCGCCCAATTTCAACGCCGTTTTCCTTGGAAATAGATGGACGGTTTGAACACCGTCCATAGCAGCGCCGCATAGATGGACGGCAGGGCAGTGGCGAACCACCCTAACAACCTCCCCTGTGGTTCGCTAGCTGCCCCTCTTGGATGCTCCCGTGGTCACCCTGTGCCCTAATTTTGTTATCATCTCTTGTCCGCGTGCTTCACTTGGGATGGTCGCCTTCATTGCTGCTCCGGTACTGCCCTGCAAGTCCTTGCAGTGCTCATGATTAGCTTTTGGCAGCACCTTGGTGAGGAAATCCGTGGGCTGCTCCTTTGTCCGCACGTGCACAAAATCAAATGTCCTTTTCTGCAGCATCTCTCACACCCAGTGATACTTGACGTCCATGTGTTTCGTCCGTCCGTGCCAGTTGTCGTTCCCTGCAAGGTCGATGGTTGATTGACTGCCCGTTTTGATCGTCGTAGGACCTTGGATGGTGATCCCAATCTCTTGAAGTAGCCGTCTCAGCCATACGCCCTCTTTGTTAGAAACAGAAAGGTTCAGTTTATTGATGAAGCAAAGGCATTACATAGGAAGAGAGAGATGAGCTAGGAAGGGAAGGTTGGAAGGGAAGGGGGGGTTAGGACCAATCACAAAGGAGGGAGGATCCTTCCAAATGTGGTTGACCACCAGTTGGAGGTGGTCCAAGTGTGGTGTACCACCAGTGGTTTAGCCAACCCACTTGTGGTGCCCCCACAATTGTGGTCCTTGTGTTTGGGGGCTCCAACCACAATTGGGTTGAATTGACACCCCAACACAGGTGTACACCCAAGTAGGGATGTAAACACAATATACACAACTAGCATAGCATGGTATATTCTAACACAACCCCATAGCATGCAAAGCTAGTGTATATGTAGGGTACAACCCCAGAATCAGGAAGGGGGGCGGGGCCCAAGGCCGAGAAGGCGGAGGAGGGCAGAGTGCGCGGTCTTCGGGAGGGCCTTGGTGAAGATGTCGGCCAAGTTGGCCTCTGCAGCGATCTTGCGGACCACCAAGTGACCTTGCTGGACCAACTCTCGAACGAAGAAGTAGCGGAGTTCAATGTGCTTGGAGCGGCCATGGAAGACAGGGTCCTTTGTGAGATGGATGGTGCTGGCGTTGTCGCACCAGAGGGTGGGACAGCGCTGAGGAGCACCGATCTCAGCAAGGAGGAAGGTGAGCCAGCGAGCCTCCTGAGCGGCCATGGTGCAAGCATAGAGCTCAGCCTCGCAGGATGAGAGGGCGATGGAGGAGGAGCGAGTGGAGCGCCAGCTGATGAGGCCGCTGCCAAGGGTGAAGCCGTAGCCTTGAGAGGAACGGCGATCCGGCTGGGAGTCAGCCCAGGAGGAGTCACTGAAGCCAGAGAGGAGGGGAGGAGAAGAGCCTCCGAGGGTGAGGACATAGTCCTTGGTACCACGGAGGTAGCGGAGGACCCGCTTCGCTGCAGCCCAGTGCTCATCAGTGTGGCGACCGGTACCGACGAATCGAGCAAGAACACTGATGGGGTAGGCAAGGTCGGGGCGGGTGCACATCATAGCGTACATCAGCGAGCCGACGAGCTCAGCGTAAGGATGGTCAGAGGAGGAGGGAGCAGGAGGAGGGGCAAGCTGGTGGTCGGTCTGCAGGGGAGTGGTAACCGGCTTGGCCTGCGCCATGTCGAACCGCTGCAAGACTTGGTCGATGTAGAAGGACTGAGAGAGGGTAATGGTGCGCGATGTGCGGTCCCGGGTGATGGTCATGCCCAGATAGTGCTTGAGCTCACCCAGGTCCTTGCACTTGAGGCGCGCATGCAGGGCGTCCTTCACTTGCTGCATGGCGGCAGCATCGTCAGCGAACAGGATCATGTCGTCGACATACACCAGGATGAAGAAGCGGGTGGGAGAGGAGCGAAGGAAAAGGCTGGCATCAGACTGAGAGGCATGGAACCCCAAGGACTGCAGAGTGGCGGCCAGCTTGTTGTGCCACTCGCGAGGAGCCTGCTTGAGGCCATAAACCGGGCGGCGCAGCTCCCAGACTGTGTTGGCAGGGAAGGCTGCATGAAAGCCTGGAGGCCGCCGCAAGAGGACCCGCTCCTGGAGCTCGCCTTGCAGGAAGGCGTTGGAGACATCCATGGAGGCAATCTCCATGCCAACGCGAACAGCATAGTCGAGGATGGCACGGAGAGTTGGGAGCTTGGCAGTGGGAGAGAATGTCTCCCAGTAGTCGATGCCATGGGTTTGGGTGAAGCCCTTGGCACAATACCGGGCCTTGTAGACCGGCTCCTCACCCGGCAGCTGCTTCACTCGGAACACCCACAGGCCTTCAACAATGACGTCGTCAGGAGAGGGGACAATGTTAACGAATGAGGCATTGCGGATGAAGGCCTCGCATTCAGCAAAGATAGCCTGGATCCACTTGGCAGCATCGGGGCAGGTGATGGCCTCAAGGAAGTTGGACGGAGTGAATCTGGTGGGAGCGGTAGCGATGCCAAGGATGAGGAGGCCAAGGAAGCCAGGATAGAGAGGCGTGAGGGAAGGTGTTTGTTGCTGAACGCCAATGAGCTCCTCATGGGAGTCCTCAATGAAGGGAAGGGAGGGTGGGGGTAGTGTTGGCCAACCCCATGGATGGCCTATGAGTGGGCCGTGAGAGCGAGTGTGGATGCGTGGGAGGATGAACGGAGAGGTGGTGCGGCGATGCCGATGAGGTTGCTGCAGTGGCTGCTGCTGCTGCTGCTGCTGCTGTGGCTGCTGCTGGTGCTGCTGCTGCACCTCCTGTTGCGGCTGCTGTTGCTGCACTGCCTGCGGTTGCTGCTGCTGCTGCTGCTGCTGCTCCATCCGCTGCTGCACCTCCTGCTGCTGCTGCTGCTGCTGCTGCTGCTGCTGCTGCTGCTGCTGCTCCATCCGCTGCTGCTGCTGCACCTGCTGCTGCTGCTGTTGCTGCTGCTGCTGCTGCTCCTTCTGCTGCTGCTGCTGCTGCTGCTGCTGCTGGTGGTGCTGCTGGTGCTGGTGCGATGAGGCAGAGTGAGCAGGGGAGTCAGGGACAGCTGGGTCGTAAATGTCACCTGAGGAAGGAGGAGGGGGAGGAGCAGGATTTGGAGGAAGGAGGGGAGCCTGGGGAAGGAGTGGGGGAATGACAGCATCAGCCCAGGTGAGGGGGCGGGAGAGAGGAGGAAGGGGGCCGGAAGGCGGAACAGAATGATAGAACGGGATGCTCTCATCGAACACCACGTCACGGCTCTGTAGGAGGCGGCCTGAGGACGGGTGAAGGAAGAGGTAACCAGGGGCAGAGCGAGCGTGGCCAAGGTAGACACACTCAATGGCCTTGGAGGCGAGCTTTCCTGCCTGCCGAGAGCGGTCAGGTGGGGGGATGAGGACATATGCCTTGCAACCCCAGATACGGAGAATGGCAGCATCTGGCTTGGTGCTAGCCCAGAGCTCAGTGGGAGTGACAGACTAGCGTTGAGGATGTGGGTAAAGATTAGTAAGGAGAGCAGCATGGACAAGGGCATAGCCCCAAAGAGAAGGGGGCGTGGAGGCATGAGTGAGGAGGCAGCGGGCCGTCTTGGTGATCTCACGAATGCGACTCTCAGCAACACCGTTCTGCTGAGGGGAGTGGGGAAGGGTATGAGTCTGCTGGATGCCATGGGTTGAGCAGTAGGAGGAGAGGGTGCGGTTGAGAAACTCACCACCGCCGTCGGAATGGAGGCGGCGGATGGGGCGACCAAAGTGGACTCGGCACTGCTCGGCCCAGGTAACGATGACAGCAAAGGCCTCGGCCTTCGTGTGGAGGAGGAACACCGAGGAGTACCTGCTGTGGTCGTCGACTAGGACAAGCATGTACCGGTGCCCTTGGCGGGAAGGGGAAGGGTTAGGGCCCCAGAGGTCCATGTGGACGAGGTCAAGGGGGGCAGCAGCAAAGGAAGGATGACTGAGGTGAGGCTGTTGTTTGAGCTTTCCATGAATGCATGTGGCGCATGGGGGAGCGGAAGAGGACGGGAGGGGAGGAAGAGTGGGGGGAAGACCGTCAAGCAAGCGGGAGGAGACGGCTTTACAAAGTGTGGGAAAGTTCATTTGACCAAGGCGGTGGTGGATGAGAACAGCGGGGTGGGACAGTGCGCGACAACAGCATGGGGAGGAGGTGGAGTTGGAGGAAGGTGGCTCTAGAGGGAGGGGAGGGGGGAGAGTGGAGGTGCCTGCACGAGTGGTCACGTGGCATGAGGAGGGGCGGGGTGTGCGGAGGATGTACTGACGAGAGCGAGGGCAAAGTGGGAGGCGATGAAGGAGGCGGCGAGTGGGGCCGTGGAGGAGGTCACAGTAGGTGGCAGAGGCGGGGAAGAGGGTAGTGATGCCAGCCTGTTGGAGTTCACGAATGGAGAGCAGGTTATGACGAAGGGAGGGAATGTGGAGACCAGTGACCACTCCAGAGGGGAAGGGGGGGCAGGGGAGGGTGGAGAGATGAGTGCAAGGGATGGAGAAGCTGGAATCAGCACCATGAACGTTGGTGGGGAAAGGGAGGGAGGTGAGGGTGCCGGCGTCTTTGAGGGCAGTTTCAGTGGCACCACTATCGAGAACAAAGTCAATCGTGAGCGAGGAGGGAGCTGAAGACACGGGGTACTGGAAATCACTGGCATTAAAAACAGAGGGATACATGGAAGTGGAAGTAGGGGAAGAACGCATGAGCTCGCCTAGAAAGCTGGAGTGGGAGGCGGGAGCACTAGGGGAAGGAGAGCCCCAGAGGGGAAAGCCAGGAGGACCTGGTGTGGCTGTGGCAGCCATGGCGGCGGTGCCAAAGCCAAGCTGCTGCTGCTGCCATGCAGATGCTGCGGCTGCGGCTCTTGCAGCTGCGGCTGCAGCCTGACCACCAGAGCCCCACTGCTGCTGCTGCTGCAGCAGCTGCAGCTGCTGGAAGCGGCGAAACTGCTGCAACTCCTGGGGAGTTATGGGGTCAGCGACAGAGGAGGAGGAGGAGGAGGAGAGCTGAAGATGAGAGGGGAGGAAAGACGGAAGAGTTTTGACATCCTGGAGAGAGGGGCGGGGATCCATGGCAGACCAGCGTGGGGGTGTGCCAGTGTTGCCGCGCTCGAACCAGGCGTCATCATACGCCTTGAAGCAGGTCGCGGGGGGATGGTTGGTTTGGGTGCAGCGCTCACCCGCCCTGGGACCAAAACGGCGAAGATAGGAACATGGGGGGAGAGTGCCAGGGCGGCCACCACGGCTACCAGATGAGCCACCACTGCCTCCACCACCACCACTGCTGCCACCCTCGACCCCGCCACCACCGCCGCCGGCTCCGCTGCCCCCACAACCGCCACCTCCACCCCCTCCCTGAGGGTTGGTGCGGCCGCCACGTGGGCGCCCGCCACGACGCGGCTGTGTGACTGCAAGCTGGGGGTTTTGGGACTCGGTGGAGTTCAGGCCGGAGGGGGGGGTTGAGAGAAGGCGGGCCTCAGCGTCAATGATCCATTGGACCACAGTGTCAAGGGAGGCGCGGGGCTGAGCCTCAGTGAAGGCGATGACGCGCACTTCATATTGAGGGGAGAGGCCTTCGAGGAGACGGTAGATCTGAAGGTTGGGGGGGAGAGTAGTCTGGCGAGCCTCAAGGCGGGAGGCAAGGTCCAGGAGACGGCTGGTGTAGTCGACGGCGCCAGCACTATGTTCGATCGTGATGCTGAAGTATTCCTTGAAGAGCGGTCCGACAGCATCGAAGTCGGTGCGTTCGAATATTGCCTCAAGCTCGAGCCAGATCTGGCGGGAGCCGATGCGACGTGCCTGGAAGTTGCGCATGAGCGCAGACGGGATGGCAAGGAGAAGGGCACCAGTAGCACGGCTGTCCGCCTCGAGCCAGGCGCGACGACGCTCAGCAAATCGCGCAGAGTCAGCGGCATAAGCGGCGGCGGTAGCGGCATGCTGGGTGCGGAGGGTTGCCGACCGCTCGTGTTCCTCCAACGCGATCAGGTAATCAGTATGGAGCACGAGGAACTCACGACGCTGAGTAAGGAAGAGCTGCTCAACTTCAGCGGTGGCAGCGCGAGTGCTGGTGCCAACGGGTACCATGGGGGGCGGAGGTTCCTCGCCGGGATGGGGAATGAGAGGGGGGGGATCGCCAGGGTGAGGCGGCGGGTCCCCAAGGTCACCCTCTGGGAGACCAAGCATGATGTCCAGGAGGCGGAACGGCAGGACATAAGCACTGCCGAGGACGCGGTGGAGGCTGCCGACGAAGGAATACCACTTGGTTGCTGAGTTGTCGGCAGCGCGCACGAGATGATCGAGGGTCGAGACGTCCACGGGAGGGGGAAAGGATGCCATTGGTGACACGGAGTGGGAGGAAGGCGACGGCGGGTGGACCCGCAGTGGCCGGGAGGGAGCGGCGGCGGGTGGACCCGCGGCGGCTCAAAGAGGAGGGGAGGATGGGGATGGCTCTAGATACTGCTGCTGCTGCTGCTGCTGCTGCTGCTGCTGCTGCTGCTGCTCCTTCTGCTGCTGCTGCTGCTGCTGCTGCTGCTGTTGCTGTTGCTGTTGCTGCTGCTGCCGCTGCTGCTGCTGCCACTGCTGCTGCTACCGATGTTGCTGCTGCTGCTGCTGCTGCTGTTTCAGCTGCTGCTGCTGCTGCTGCTGCTGCTACTGCTGCTGCTGCTGCTGCTGCTGAGTCTGCTGCTCCTTCTGGTGCTGCTGCTGCTTCTGCTGCTGCTGCTGCTATGGCTGCAGCAGTGGTAAGGCGGCGATGAGCAGGTGCAGGTGAGGAGGCAAAAGATGGGGAAAGATGGCAGTTAGCTGATGAAAATATACTTGGTAGAAATTTCAGTAGCACTTCGTGATCACATCCAGGAAAGTGTGCAAACTTCGGAAAGCGATATCTGACAATTCAAGCGATGAAACAGTCTGAAATTTTCCGACGTTGTAGCTGACACCAAGAGCGTTCTTTTGCAAGTCGAATCACTCAATTCTGTCAACTATCGAGCGAGCTATGGCGTTTGGCGCATTGGGGGTTTTTGAAAATCCACCCAACAGAAAACTAGTTGAGAGGCGGCGGCTAGGAGTCTAGCAGCGGCGATGGAGGGGACGGCAATGAGGTGCACGTTGGAAGGGGACGGGGCGGAAGCGTGGGGAAGGATCGGGATCTAAAAGTTGGCGTGAGCCATTATTGCTCTATACCATGTTAGAAACAGAAAGGTTCAGTTTATTGATGAAGCAAAGGCATTACATAGGAAGAGAGAGATAAGCTAGGAAGGGAAGGTTGGAAGGGAAAGGGGGGTTAGGACCAATCACAAGGGAGGGAGGATCCTTCCAAATGTGGTTGACCACCAGTTGGAGGTGGTCCAAGTGTGGTGTACCACCAGTGGTTTAGCCAACCCACTTGTGGTGCCCCCACAATTGTGGTCCTTGTGTTTGGGGGCTCCAACCACAATTGGGTTGGATTGACACCCCAACACAGGTGTACACCCAACTACGGATGTAAACACAATTTACACAACTAGAGCCGCCACCCGACACCGAGCTGCGCGGCCCACCACCACGACCACCACCACCAGTTTTGCCAGGCCACCACGGCGGCTGCTGCTGGTGCTGCGACTGCTGCTGCTGCTGCAGCTCCAAGCATCAACCCCAGTCCCCTCGTCTGCATCACCGTCCCCGCCCCCACCTCCACCACCTCCGCCACCCGCACCACCCTTCCCTCCGCCATGCCCCCCCTTGGGGCGGCGGCCCTTACCCTGACGCGGCTGTGCTGAGACCGCGGCGGCAGTCTCAGCGGTAGGGGTTGTCTCAGCGACAGCGGCTGAAACGTCAGAATAAGTGCACTGGGAGGGAGCACTGCCCTGGAATATAGGGACCGCCGCATTACCGCAAGACTGAGCGATAGTGCGCTGGCGGGTCTCTATCGTGGACAGGGCGGTGATAAAGGCAAATAAGGGTGAGGTCACCTGGGTTCTGACTAAGGAAGTGGTCGCGGGCAAAGGCAAGACAGTCAGGGAGGCGTGTGGCAATGAGGTAAAGGGTAGCGCAAAGCGGCGGCGGGAATGCAGCGAGCTGGGCCTCAGTGCTAGCAGCGCAGTAGCTAGTCTCAAGAGCGCAGAGATGAGTGGCAAGGTCAGCAGCAGTGGGGAAGGAAACAAGATCAGGGAATAGCATTGGGAGGATCAGGTGGACGGAAGAGGTGGAGTGGAATAGCGGACAATGACTGCATCTAAGTATTCCTTCGCATTGGCTACTGTGGTAATGTGAGGACATGATTAATAGCAAGCTGTGTGACTTCGTCGCGCGACTCCCAGTCAGCGCGGGCAAGCTCAGTAGTGGCAAAGGCCTCACGCTCTGCAGACGTGGGGGCAGCAAGGAGGGCAGCAGGCACGTCAGGGAAGGGGAGCTTACCGTCGACATGGATGGCCAGGGAATGGCCATCCTGGCACTAACCTGTGAGCTAGCGGCGGAGGTCGACGAGCCACGCCTCAAAATCAACCACCCGACCATCCCAGGCGGAGCACAGAGTCCACCATCACCACGGCTGCAGCAGTTGACTGCCGCTGGAGGGAGAGGAGAGCGGCGGAGAGTGGTGGATAGCGGTGTAGAGTGGTGGAGATAGGAGGAGAGCGATGGAGAGCAGTGGAGAGCGGTGGAGAGCGGTGGCGGCTCGCTAGGGCCAGCGAGCTAGGGTCGACGGGCTCGGGGCTACGGGCGGCTGGTGGCTACGGGCAGCCATGGCGACAGGCGACTGGTGGCTACGGGGGGCACGTGGCGGCAGGCGGCCAGCGTTGGTGAGCGGCGATCGGCTAGCAGCGGCGGCTAGCGACGGGCGGCTAGGAATGGGCAGCTAGCGATGGGCGGCTAGCAACCGGCGGCTAGCGATGGGCGGTTAGGACTAGGGCTAGGACCTAATCTAGCGTGATACCATCTCAGAGTAACAAAATTGACTAGAATTGTTGGTTAGAGAAGGCTATAAGCAGATGATTCAATGGCTCCTTGGAAATTTCTGCAGCACTTCGTTATGACGCCCAGAAAACTCGCGACCTTCGAATAGCTATATCAAAAACTCCAATCGGTGAAACGATCTGAAAATCGGATATGTTGTAGCTGGCAGTGTCAGCTTTCCACTGAAAGTTGAATCACTCGATTCCGTAGCTAAACGAGTGAGCTATGGCGTTTGGCGCACTGGGGGGTAATCTGCCCTAGGAGAAGTTGACAGTCCTCAGAGTCACTATGATTGAAGCTTACAAGTTCAGAGACATGATGGAAAAGGCATTGAAGCATAGTTGGAAGGTGGGGTAGGAAGTGAAGGATGAAAGGGAAGGACCCTGGAGGCCCATGGTCAAGAACATGACAAGAGTCAAAGTTTTGACTCCCCATCCTCAGGTTCAGCCAGCCTGGCAAGACAAATTTCACACTGTGCCAGGTTGGCCTCCAAACCCCAAATGCTGCAGCTGCAAGGTGGGGACAAAAGTCCCACACATGCTGGTCCCTCCTCGTTATAGGGCTCTCCAGCTTTGGTGTAGCAGCTGACAAGGACTTCCAATGAGTTGTAACAAATCCATCAAACATTTCTTCGTAACTTCTTCATATGTGCTCCGATTCCAACAATTCTTGGCTCGTTGGAATGTGCTCGATGTCATGCACAATCCAAGCACATCTGCACAAGCACAAGATGAACATGCAAAGACATGCAAACCCAACAAACCATACAAACAACGTAGCACACAAAACACATGCAACGAAATGATGCGAACAGACGACAGGATGACGTGCAAACGAATATGCACCAACACACTCCCCCTCAGACTGTCGGCTTGTTTCGCCGTCTCTAGTTCAAGGACATTCCCGCCATCCTCGCACAGCGCCAGTGTGGCTCTTCAGCTAGCCGCTTGGTAAGGAAGTCGGCTGGCTGTTGCTGAGTTTTCACGTAGATCGGATCCAGTGTCCCAAGCTTCACCTCCTTCCGCAGCCAATGCCACATGATCCTCATGTGCTTGTTCAACCCATGAAGAACTGCATTGCGTGCCATGGCAATGGCTCCCTTGCTATCACTGAACAGAGGTGTCGCACAAGTCTGTTCATGGCCGATCTCCTTCAAGAGCCTCCTTAGCCAGATGATTTCTTTTGCCGCATGAAACATCGCCATGTACTCAGATTCCACTGAAGATAGTGCCGTCTCAGACTGCTTCTTGGACCTCCAACTTACAGGCCCACCTCCCACCATGCAGATGTATCCACCAACTGATGATGAATCCTCATGCTCAGAAGCCCACGTGGCATCAGCAAAACAGGAAAGGAACACCTTTCCTTCTCCGAGCTGCTCCCCCTTCTCTTTGAGGACTTCAATTCTTTTTTGACTGAGTTGAGCAGAGGCTGAATACTGTACTCCCACTGTAGGGTATGACTTGAGGTAGCGCACCACTCTCTTCGCTGCACCACACTGCTCTTCTGTTGGATTTTGCACTACTCGAGCCAGCTGTCCCACAGCAAAGCTGATGTCAGGCCGAGTATGCACAGCAGCGTAGAGTAGGTTCCCGACCATGGATTGGAATTGCCTCTGGTCTTCACTCTCAACTCCTTCTCCTTCAGCTGCCTTTATGAGTTTGAACTCGGAAGGCAAAGGTGTGACCACTTCCCGTTCTTCCTGCAGAGAGTACTTCTCAGCCAAGGTGTTGATGTACTGTCCCTGATGCAGTTTGAGCCAGCCACGTTCAGTATCCCGCTCAATATGCATTCCCAGGTAGTACCTTGCCTCTCTAAGTGACTTGCACTTGAACTGCTCTGTGAGCTTCCGCTGCACCCCATCGATCTCCTTGTCACTGCTGCTGAAGAGCAGGATGTCATCCACGTACACCAGCAGAAGCACAAGCGACTCCCCCTCGCTCATCAGGAATAGGCTCTCGTCGCATGCACTCGCACGGAATCCAATCCCTTCCAGTGCACTGGCCAGCCTGTTGTACCAGCATCTCGGGGCCTGCTTCAAGCCATAGATGGCCTTGTTAAGTTTGCAGACACGACCGGTTCCATCCTCATAGCCAGGTGGTTGAACCATGTATACCTCCTCTTCCACAATGCCATACAGAAAAGCGGTTACGATGTCCATCTGCTTCACCTTCCATTTGCGCACAGCAGCTACCGCCAGCAGCACACGTAGCGTTGGAGACTTAGCAGTTGGGGCAAACACTTCTTTGTAATCTTCCTTCGCTTTCTGCTGAAACCCCTTTGCCACCAGCCTGCTCTTGTAAACTGATGGCTCTCCTTTCTCATCCGTCTTGATTTTTGCCAGCCACTTGCACTGTATTGCCTTCTTCCCATTTGGCAAGTACACCAGGTCCCATGTGTGATTCTCCATCTTGCTGTTGTACTCTGCATCTCTTGAAACGAGCCACTTCCCCCGTTGAGGCCCGGCTAGCGCATGATCCATGCTCGGAGGTTGTATTGGTGCGTAAAAGCAGTATGCAGGCTCCTTGTCATCTGACTCTTGGTCATCACCCAAGAACAGCACTGCATCTTCGCCTTGAGCCTGTTCCTGCTGCTCAGTTGTGGCTCCTCCACTTGTGGAGCTCAACAGCTTTCTCATTGCCATTCTGGTACGTGCAGGGTAGATGGTTGGATTTACCCATTCTTTCACCTTCACCCAATCCTTTGTCCCCCCACCAATCTGTTTCCTTCGCTTTGACAGACTTGGTGTTTTGGAAGCCTCTTGCTGCTGCTGCTCCGGATCCTTGACTTCAGCATCAGCTGCAATATCCTCATTGCTTCCTTCATCAGTACCGCTTGCCGTTGGCGCAGTGACTTCGCTGTCCTCAGGTTCGGACAGATCGAAGTGCATAGTGATCTCTTCCAGCTGCTGGGTGACCCTTGCCTCCGGCTGCTTCTCCCACTTGCCATACATGATGTTCTCCACAAATTTGACATCCCGACTATCAAACAGCACATTCTTTGAGGGCTCCCAGAGTAGCCACCCCTTGCTCTCTGCCGCAAGCCCAAGGTGCACACACCAAAGTGCAGATGCTCCAAGCTTTGTCCTGTACGGTTTAGGGACATGCGCCACTGCCATGCATCCGAACACTCGAAGCATGTCCACTGGAGGCTTCTTTCCAAGCCACCTCTCCAGCGGCACCCACATATCATCAGCCACCTTTGTGAGTACGCGGTTCCTTGCCACTGTAGCATGCCTCACCGCATGAGGCCACATGGAGTTCCCCAGCCCTGATTCGATCAGCAGCGCTCGCGCAGTTTCCAGGATGGTCCTATTAGCCCTCTCAGCAACGCCATTTGACTGAGGGGTATAGGACGTCGTTAGCTGATGCTCAATGCCTTGTTTCTTGAGCCACGCAGTCAGATCTCCTCCTAGAAACTCTCCACCTCGGTCGGTTCTGATGCTCTTGCATGGGTGCCCAGATTGTCGCTCGACGAACGGCAGCCAATCATCTCGTATTGTTGAGGCAGCATGATCCTTCTGCTTCAACGGGTATGCCCACATCAGCCGACTCCAGTCATCAACTATTGTCAGGAAGTACCTTTCCCCCTTACTTCCTCGGACTGGAAAAGGTCCTACGAGGTCCATGTGCACCAGTTCCAGTGCTGCCTTGCTTTTCCCAGCTCCGCCGTGAAAGGGGAACCGTGTGAACTTGCTCAGCAGACACGTCTCGCACTTGGTAGCATTTGGTTGCCCAGAAAGCTTGAGCCCCTTTACTGCTTCTTCCTTATGCAGTTGCTGCAGCAATGGCATAGCCACATGCCCTAGACGCCTGTGTGCGGTTTCCCAATCAGTCTCCCCCGACCTTGCAGAAACCGTCACTCCTGCAGCACTAACTGCATTACACTCCCCCTGGACTCCAGAACCCGCCTTTACTTCTCCCAACTCCTTCTTTGTTGATTCCCATATCAGTGCAGGGATCTGCCACATGGATCTGAAGACATCTCTGCTTTCGTGTAAATCCCATAACACACGATCTCCTCGCAGCCCCTTGAATGTTTTGGATCCATTGGTGGTGGTGCTGACTCCGGCCTGGCCTAGCTTGCGCAGCGATATCAGGTTGGCCTTCAGCCCCGGTACGAGTAACACATCCTTCAGCACAACCAGTCCACCATCAGGTGCTCTGAATGCAGCTCGACCAACTCCAGCGACCTTCACTGCATGTCCGGATGCTGAGCGCACTTCAGAGATTGGAGGCGCTCGCACAGCATCCAGCAAGTCCTTGCGTGGTGTCATTGTCCATGCAGCACCAGAGTCCATGACCCACATGTCAAGCGGGTGCAATTCCTCTCCAGCCCTTGCAACAGCTGTGCCACTGTCATCTTTGTCACACACATGGTAGAACTGTCCAGCATTCCTCTCCTCATTTCGCATTCCTCTGTCATCCTTGGAGGTTTCTTCAGCAGGATCAGCTACCATGTTGGCACCTCCATGTGGTTGTTTTCCTCCATTCCCCTTCTCCGATTGGTTCCAAGGGGTCCACCAGTCGGGCTTGGTAGGGCAGCGAAACCATGGATGCCCTTCTTCCTTGCAATACCAGCACTCTCCCCTCAAGCGTGGTTCACTGTTGTCATTGTTGGAGTGACCACCTCTTCCTCTTGCACCAGCGCCACCACGCCCCCGCTGGTTCCAAGTCCCGCGACCACCTTGGCTGTGGTAAGAGCGACCGCGATTGCCACGCCCTCGATCCCTCCATGTCCCTTGCATGGCATAGCCGCTGGTGCTGTCATCACCTCCGCGCAGTGTATAGCGACGAAAATCTTCTTCCAGAATCTTGGTGCGAATCCACTCCAATGTCCATTGACTTTGGTTTTGTGGCAAGCTGAGTCCGCTTATAAATTGCAGCCAAGACTCCGGCAGCAGGCTGAGCATCTTGAGACACTTTGTCTGCTCTGGGTACGTGATGCCTGCAATCGCCAATTTCGCGTAGAGTTCCCTCATCTTGTCCAGTACGGGCTGCACAGCTTCATTCTCGCTCAACCGCAGCATGGACAGCTCCCGATCCAGCATGAGAGAAGCGGCAACCGATGTCGGAGCGTGCAGGTCCTTGAGCACTGCCCATGCCTTGGGCCCACAATCAATTTCCGGTAGCAGATGCATGATGTGATGCCTCTGGTTCAGCTCCAAGCTTTGTGACAGTAGATAGTACCCAGCAGATGAACGTTCATCCCAGTCCGCTTGCTCTGCCATTTCCTTTGGCCTTGGCTCCGTTCCAATCATGAGCTTCAAGAGGCCAATTTGTCGAAAGTAGAGCTGCATCTTCCATGCCCAATCATCATAGCCATCTCCAGAGAACTTCTCAATGGTGAAGTTCTTCAGCACCTCCTTAAGCAGTGACCCCTGGCTTGTACGCGCTCCCCTTTGCGCTGCAATGCCAGAATCTTGGGTTGAGCTGCCTCCTTGGACTGAAGTATCACCTCCACCAGAGTCCTCTTTATCTCCCATCGTATTTTAGGTCCCAAATGCGTGATAATAGGCTCTGATACCACTTGTTGGTTAGAGAAGGCTATAAGCAGATGATTCAATGGCTCCTTGGAAATTTCTGCAGCACTTCGTTATGACGCCCAGAAAACTCGCGACCTTCGAATAGCTATATCAAAAACTCCAATCGGTGAAACGATCTGAAAATCGGATATGTTGTAGCTGGCAGTGTCAGCTTTCCACTGAAAGTTGAATCACTCGATTCCGTAGCTAAACGAGTGAGCTATGGCGTTTGGCGCACTGGGGGGTAATCTGCCCTAGGAGAAGTTGACAGTCCTCAGAGTCACTATGATTGAAGCTTACAAGTTCAGAGACATGATGGAAAAGGCATTGAAGCATAGTTGGAAGGTGGGGTAGGAAGTGAAGGATGAAAGGGAAGGACCCTGGAGGCCCATGGTCAAGAACATGACAAGAGTCAAAGTTTTGACTCCCCATCCTCAGGTTCAGCCAGCCTGGCAAGACAAATTTCACACTGTGCCAGGTTGGCCTCCAAACCCCAAATGCTGCAGCTGCAAGGTGGGGACAAAAGTCCCACACATGCTGGTCCCTCCTCGTTATAGGGCTCTCCAGCTTTGGTGTAGCAGCTGACAAGGACTTCCAATGAGTTGTAACAAATCCATCAAACATTTCTTCGTAACTTCTTCATATGTGCTCCGATTCCAACAATTCTTGGCTCGTTGGAATGTGCTCGATGTCATGCACAATCCAAGCACATCTGCACAAGCACAAGATGAACATGCAAAGACATGCAAACCCAACAAACCATACAAACAACGTAGCACACAAAACACATGCAACGAAATGATGCGAACAGACGACAGGATGACGTGCAAACGAATATGCACCAACAAGAATGAGAGATACAGGGTGGTGTTGTGCTGAGGGGATGTACTCTCTAAGAGTATGCACCTATCTAGCCTATAATAACATATACAAATATGTTTGACAACGCCGTCCCCGGAGTTTGGAGCGCCTGAAAGTACTTGTCCAGGGCGTGAGATGCAAGGATGAGGTTGGATTCAGGTTCACATAAGTCATCCGTAGGAGGGAGATGGCGTCAACAGACAAGGAACTCTCTGCCGGTGGGAGTGTCACGGTGATTGAGAACAGCGGCTGTTATAGTCACAATAGGCTCAGATGTGCCTAAAATGAGAGAAATTGCGCACAGTCAGAATTCCGTCAGACAGCTTCAAATATTGATGCCGATCTGATGTGTGCCTCAAACTTTGATCTGTAAATTGGATGTGGAGCGCGTTGCTGTCGCCTATCAGCAGCAAGTTGAATCATAAACTTCCATTAAGATTTGACGACGCTATGGCGGTTTGACTGGCAGGAGGTACAGCAGCCACTATAGTCTTAGGAAGAAGAATTCGAGATGGAGACGGTTCCCAGCCTCTACATACCCCAAGAGCCGAGGTCCAGGTTGGTGGTACACCACCACAGAGTCCCCAACCATGAAGAGTCTCGAAACAAACCCTCCAAGGGGCTACTCCAAGTGCAATGTAACACTACACGAAGTAGCGTTACTATTTTCACTATTTAATATTTATCCGTGTCCCTTGGGCTTGAAATCTTGAGCTCTTGGTCTTGGTTCTGCAAGATAAATTCTTCTTGAGTTGATGGGAGCTTGCTGCACACACCTGCGATGCGATGGACACTTCACACTCGACAAAATAGAAAAAACACATGCGACACGCAAACGACGACTTGACATGCGAGTTGTAAAAACTCGCTAATGTCTTGACCGACACAAACCACATTGTGATACACCATCCAAACACACACACAAGTACTAGATAGCAATGACATAGACTCACAATTCATTCCATGCTATGCATGCACACACACAAACAAGGACGACAAGCCGAGTGCAAGCCATAGGGTTGCACCAACAGCGGCGACTTCAAGGATGTCGGGGTTGCCAGTGAACATGGGTGGACGTGTGGCACATTTAGATGTAGTAGGTTTGGGGTCATGATAGCGGCGGAGGTGTGAACATGGAAGACGGGATGGATGTTGAGATGTGGTGGGAGATGAAATCGATATGTGACTGGTGAGAGAACGGACGTGACGGTATATGGTCTGATAGAGCGAGGGGCGAGCTTGCGGGTTGTCTTTGGGTGAAGGAGGGCCAAGTGGTCGGTCGATAGTAACACTTGGTCGCCGACTGCAAACTTGAGGTTGTGACGATGGGCGTTCACATAACGTGGTTGTCACTCTTGAGATTTGAGAATCGAGGTGTGTGCAGCAGCGACATCGGATTTGATTGTAGTGAGGAAGTTGAAAGCGGCAGGTATGGCGGATGTGACGTGTGGCAGTGAGGACGGGGTGCGCAGGTGTTGACCGGTGGCAAGGTAAAATGGACTGTAGCCGGTGGAGAGGTGAGGACTGTTGTTATAGGCGAATTCAGCAGCGGCTAGGTGTTGATCCCAATGATTTTGACGAGCGTTCACGTAGACGCGGAGTGTGTCTTCCAATGTACAATTCATACGTTTGGCTGCCCATCCGTTTCCGTATGGTAGGCAGTTGAGAGACGGATCTGAGTGTCGGTGAGGGTGAAGAGGGATTACCAGAAGTGGCTGATGAAGCGCGGATCACGATCGCTGATGTTATTGGAGGGAAGGCCGTAAAGGCAGACGATGTTGGTGAAAAAGAGCCGAGCAACCTCTGAGGCTGTTGCTTTTGTGGTCGTGGGAATGAAGTGATTCATTTTCTAGAGACGATCCACGATGACAAGAATTGCGTTGAAGTTGGTCTTCGTGCGAGGGAGATCGGTGATCAGGTCCATAGTGACGGAATCCCAAAAATGTGTAGGAGGAGGAATGGGTTGGAGTAGGCCATGGCGGGATGTGGTGCGTGCCTTGACTTGTTGGCAACTACGGCAGCGGCGGATGTAGTCGCAGATGTCACGGCTCATGTTAGGCCAAAAGAAATCACGTGCAATGCGGTAGTACGTCTTGTCCATGACCAAGTCCCCGCTAAGTGGTGAATCGTGATACTCAAAGAGAAGTGCAGAACGGAGTTTGCGATCATCGGGTACGTAGATGGTGTTCAAAGGAGCGGTACCAAAATGGGTCTTCAAAGGAGTAACGAGAGTCGGTGGCAGCACGATTGGTGTAGAATTCATCCCGGTGATAGCCTCGTGTGAAATGCTAAAAGAAAGCGTCGTCCCATTGGATGAGGCCGATGGAGTTTAGTTCGGCTGCGGCTGAAAATGGGCTTGGTGTTGAAGTGGGTGTCAGCACCATGGTAGTAGGAGTTTCTGGAATGCAAGAGAGCGGATCAGCCGGGTTCGTCCAGCCAGGGCGGTATTTGATCTTCAGAGTAGGCACGTATTGTTCAAGAAACTCCAGCCACCGGACTTGACGACGAGAGAGGTTCGGCTGCGTTAGAAGGTGCTGCCGGGTGCAATGATCTGTGTACACCGTAACGTCTTGCATCTCCACGTAACAGTGCCAAATCTTGATGGCGTGGATGATGGCAAGCATTTCTCGCTCATGGGTAGCGTAGTTTTGCTCGGCATCTTGGAGTTTCCGAAATTCGTAGGCAAGAGATTGCAGTCCATTTCCATGATCTTGGAAGAGAATTGCACCAATGGCAATGTCGGAAGCATTGGTCCAAATGGTATATGGAAGGTGGGGGTTGGCGATGGCGAGTGTCGGGGCAGTTGTGAGTGTTTGTTTGATGGTGTTGAATGCGTGGTCTTGGGCCGTGCTCCAGGTGTACAGGGAATCCTTTCGGAGGAGGTTGGTGAGCGGGGCGCAGATGGTGGCGAAGCAGTGGACGAAGCGGCGGTAGTATTTGGCCAAACCGAGGAAGCTCATGAGTTCCTTGGCTTTGGTGGGGCGGGTCCAATCCGCAACAGCTTGAATCTTTGATGGATTGGTGGAGATGCCTTTGCCGGAGATGATGTGACCCAAGAAGTGGACGGACGGTTGCGCGAAGGTGCACTTGGAAAGCTTGGCGAATAACGAAGGGTGTTGCGGACGATGGGGAGATGGTCGATGTGTTCCTCCATGGATTTGCTGAAAACGAGGATGTTGTCGAGAAACACCAAAACGAAACGATCGATGTGAGGGCGGAAGATGTCGTTCATGAGGCCCATAAATGTTGTCGGGGCGTTTGTGAGGCCGAAGGGTAGGACACGGTACTCGAAGTGACCGTAATGAGTACGGAACGCCATCTTGTGAGTGTCTTCGGCAGCGACGTGAATTTGATGGTAGCCGGAGCGGAGATCGAGTTTGCTGAAAACGGACGTGCGACCCACCATCTCGAACAGCTCGTCCACACATGGAATCGGATACTTGCTCTTCACCGTGATGGCATCGAGGGCAGGGAAGTTGACGACGAGACGCATTGTTCCATCTTTCTTCTTGGTGAAAAGGACGGGTGCAGCAAAGGGCGAAGTACTCGGTTGAATGAAGCCCTTTCCATGAGGTCTTCAAGCTGCTTCTGTAACTCCTCCAGTTCAGCATGACTCATGCGGTAGATGGGACGAGTAGGCAGTTTGATGCGGTGGTTGATGGCGCGTGCCGGTGGAAGTGTGTTGGGCAGATCGTCGGAGAAGACGTCGGAATAGTTTTTGAGAAGACGTTCGATTTCCCTTGGAGGTGGTGGTGTTTCAGCTTTGTTGGAGTTAATTAGGACCAGGAGGTGATGGTATTCGGTTGGTGCTTTGTCTTGATCAGCACGGGTTGTTCCGTTGGTGAGGGTAGAAGAACTTTCGGTAGTTGCTTCCACGGGTCGGGTAACATGTTGTCCTCGGATCCATGGGCCTTCAAATGATGGGGGAAACGGTGACCACGGGTCGTGCCGTTGGTCGGTTGGAGTCGGCATCGGTCGGTGATGCATGGTTGGTGATGTTTGTGCCTGTCGTGACTTGGGAACAACTGTAGTCAATGAAATACTTCAGAAGTTACGTGTGGTGAATGGCTGGCTAGTAGGTGAATCGTTCTTCCACGAGAGGTGATTGTCACTGTTCCAGTTTTCCAATTGATATTGGGGTTGGTCTCCATTAGCCAAGCTCGGCCGATGACTGCATCGTGTTGACTTAGTTCCGTCTGCTCGAACTCCACGTCGAGGGTGAACTCACCCGAGGTGCATGGGACGGGAGCCAAAGATGATCCACATGTTGTACGGGTGCTGTTTGCCATGATGACGTGCTGCTGCCTTGTCGATGATGCCATAGGTAGTTGAAATTCTCTCGCGAGTATTGGGTTGATGAAGTTCGCAGATGTGCCACTATCCAATAACATTCTGACCGGGCATCCGTTGATCTTCGCTAGCAGGAAAATAGCAATTGTTTGCCGAGGTGCAGTCGGGTATGGTCGTGGTCAGATGTGCAGGGCGGATTCTGCACCAGTTTGTTGCCCCGGAGTTACTGGTGCTGTCCGTTTCCTGGCACACGAGGTTGTCGACGACGGATGGGGCAATTGCGCTAAACATACCCAAAGCGGCCACACTGGTAGTACGTAACCCTCGAGTTGTTCCGTCCCTCCATGGTATCGAGTTCCATAGGAACAGGTTCATTTCTTCCGCCCCAGTTGTTGAATTTCACATTAGGACGACGAAAAATTGCTACGGGGTGATAATTTGTTGTGTGACGATGATTTGTCGCAGAGGTGTGTGCCGGTCCAGAGTTGTGTTGCGTTCCTCCAGGTGCGTCGTCTGTGCATCGCGGCGTGTAGTTTCCGGCATTGAAACTTATAAAGTCGAAACATTCCACCACGTGCAGCATTTCTTCAAAGCTAGAGCAGTCTCGTAACTCCACTTCAGTACGCACACGAGGCCTTAGTCCGGGTTTGAAGCGGTCCATCAGCTCGGTGTCGGCGAGGTCGGGGATTTCCAGGGACAATTCCCTGAAGTTGGTGACTTACACGCTCACTAACGCATGTTGCTTGAGCGCCGCCAGTGCGTCGCGCGCTCGTGCTTCGGTGTTGGCATGTTGAAACGCCGCCAAGAAGCTTTGCTCAAATTCTTCCCACGAGTTGATGTCATCCCACATGCTTTGCCACCAGGTAACAGCTGGTCCACGAAGCAAGATTCCAGTGAAGCGCGGCCACTCCGCTTTGGGAACGTGGCTCAGGGAGAGGAAGTCTTCGACTTGGACAATCCAGCAACACGGCTGGTGTTGATGTCTCCCTGGGAAGAACGGGTCAGGTTGCGCTGGCCTTACTCGAGCGTTGGACTCAGCCGGTGCGGGCCCTTGCACAGCTGAACGCTGACCAGATTCTTGCAGCTCACGTTGAACTGCCGAGCGCACTTCGCGCTCTATCTCCTTGCGCAAATTCCCCTCGAACTCTACCCAACCTTCGGCGGCCATTCCTCTAGTTCCGGCCATAGTGTCTAGAATGTGGATGGTCATAAGGAAGTCGCAAGCCTGGCTCTGAGTCCAGTTGTTACACGACAAGATTGGAGGATCGGAAGTATAACGGGGCTAGAGTTGTATCGAGGAAAGAACCGGATGATTTACTCAATGAAAGGTACAAGATTTATAATTGGACAGTACAAGGGTTGAGAATAAGCACCAAGGTGACAATTTCGCCACTGGTTGTGATGGTTGAGCTTCTGCGAACGCGGTTCAATTTGCAGCACCGCGGTAATAAACAGTCGCACCGGTTGAATTATTCCAACCGTCCGGGCGACGATTGGGTGCTGCGGTGCCGTTTCGTCTCCCGCGGTGACAGTTGTAAAACTATCACGACGGTCGCATTTCCGCGACCGTTGCAATTTCATTGTTGAAATTGTAAATTGTATTCAGTCTTTTGCGTCGCGCTTGTCGTTTTCCCTTCTCTTGAGTGTTGGTTGGGAAATGTTCGGGGGACAAATGTCATCTGTAACACTAACTCCCTGGTCTATCGTTTCCTAGTTGTCAGAGTGTTGGGCTATGGCAGATTGCTTGGAGTGTCTCGCTTTGTGCAGGAATAGCAGAGGGGGATCCCTCTTGAAATTCAAGATGGACCCCTTTGTTCCGGACACCCTCTCGCCACCCTCGTCGCGCAGTCGTGGGACACGCTGTGTGACGGGCTGCCGACGTAGGAAAAATTCACACTCTTGTTTTGCGTGTACATTCTCGTGCCAGATCGCTCATGTGTTAAGGTCCGACCAATGGGAGGGAAGTTTTTTTTTTTTTTTTTTTTTTTTTTTCATTTCGTTTGGCGCAAAGTTGTGCACACTTGCGATGTCTCGTCGTCCAAAAAGGGACTTCGTTTTTTCAGGAGAGGGTTGGATCAAGAGCCCCCCCCCTCTGCTATTTTGCCATGGGGTTTTAAAAGGGCTTGTTAAGTAGTGGGGACATGGGCCCATAACCCCCTAGGCTCTGCACATGTGGCTAGGCCCTATGATTGGTTTTGGGTCACGCTGATTCATCATCCTTGCACCCTGCATTTAGGCTGATTTTGCAGCCTTGCCCTTGGAACAAAGGCTGAAAAATTCTGCGTTACCCAAAACAAATTCGCTTATCAATCAGCGTTAGAGATGAAAAAAAGTCTGATGCATATATGAACGATTCTTCAGGAATTTGCGTCAACTTTCAATAACGAGGTTAAGGAGTTGTCTGAAGCACTTGAAATGCCAGTGATTGGCTGCCGGAATAGTAATTTTCAATCAACACCAATTGCATCCGAGAAGCCAAGGTGTTGGCGTGTTAGCTGAGGTTGTTATTATCACAATAGGCTCAGATGTGCCTATAATGAGAGATAGAGAGCATAGTTGGATTTCCATCAGACGGCTTCAAATATTGATAACGATGTGCTCGCTAATTCAACCAGTGATCTGTAAGTTGGATCTGGAGCACGTTGCTCTCGTCTATCAGCAGCAAGTTGAATCATGAAATTCTATGAAGATTTGACGACGCTATGGCGGTTTTACTGGCAGGAGGTATAGCAGCCACTATAGCCTTAGAAGTACAAACTTAGCAAGAAGAATTCGAGATGGAGATGGTTCCCAGCTTCTACATACCCCAAGAGCCGAGGTCCAGGTTGGTGGTACACCACCACAGAGTCCCCAACCATGAAGAGTCTCGAAACAAACCCTCCAAGGGGCTACACCAAGTGAAATGTATCACTACACGAAGTAGCGTTACTATTTTCACTATTTAATATTTATCCGTGTCCCTTGGGCTTGAAATCTTGAGCTCTTGGTCTTGGTTATACAAGATAAATTCTTCTTGAGTTGATGGGGGCTTGCTGCACACACCTGCGACGCGATGGACACTTCACACTCGACAAAATAGAAAAACACACGTGACACGCAAACGACGACTTGACATGCGAATTGTGAAAACTCGCTAATGTCTTGACCGACACAAACCACATTGTGATACACCATTCAAACACACACACAAGCACTTCAACTCCCTTTTGCCTGAGTTGAGCACAGGCTGAATACTGTACTCCCACTGTAGGGTATGACTTGAGGTAGCGCACCACTCTCTCCGCTGCACCATACTGCTCTTCTGTTGGATTTTGCACTACTCGAGCCAGCTGTCCCACAGCAAAGCTGATGTCAGGCCGAGTATGCACAGCAGCGTAGAGTAGGCTCCCGACCATGGATTGGAATTGCCTCTGGTCTTCACTCTCAACTCCTTCTCCTTCAGCTGCCTTTATGAGTTTGAACTCGGAAGGCAAAGGTGTGACCACTTCCCGTTCTTCCTGCAGAGAGTACTTCTCAGCCAAGGTGATGATGTACTGTCCCTGATGCAGTTTGAGCCAGCCACGTTCAGTATCCCGCTCAATGTGCATTCCCAGGTAGTACCTTGCCTCTCCAAGTGACTTGCACTTGAACTGCTCTGTGAGCTTCCGCTGCACCCCATCGATCTCCTTGTCACTGCTGCTGAAGAGCAGGATGTCATCCACGTACACCAGCAGAAGCACAAGTGACTCCCCCTCTCCTATGAGGAATAGGCTCTCGTCGCATGCACTCGCATGGAATCCAATCCCTTCCAGTGCACTGGCCAGCCTGTTGTACCAGCATCTCGGGGCCTGCTTCAAGCCATAGATGGCCTTGTTAAGTTTGCAGACACGACCGGTTCCATCCTCATAGCCAGGTGGTTGAACCATGTACACCTCCTCTTCCACAATGCCGTACAGAAAAACGGTTACGATGTCCATCTGCTTCACCTTCCATTTGCGCACAGCAGCTACCGCCAGCAGCACACGTAGCGTTGGAGACTTAGCAGTTGGGGCAAACACTTCTTTGTAATCTTCCTTCTCTTTCTGCTGAAACCCCTTTGCCACCAGCCTGCTCTTGTAAACTGATGGCTCTCCTTTCTCATCCGTCTTGATTTTTGCCAGCCACTTGCACTGTATTGCCTTCTTCCCATTTGGCAAGTACACCAGGTCCCATGTGTGATTCTCCATCTGGCTGTTGTACTCTGCATCTCTTGAAACGAGCCACTTCCCCCGTTGAGGCCCGGCTAGCGCATGATCCATGCTCGGAGGTTGTATTGGTGCGTAAAAGCAGTATGCAGGCTCCTCGTCATCTGACTCTTGGTCATCACCCAAGAACAGCACTGCATCTTCGCCTTGAGCCTGTTCCTGCTGCTCTGTTGTGGCTCCTCCATTTGTGGAGCTCAGCAGCTTTCTCGTTGCCATTCTGGTACGTGCAGGGTAGATGGTTGGATTTACCCATTCTTTCACCTTCACCCAATCCTTTGTCCCCCCACCAATCTGTTTCCTTCGCTTTGGCAGACTTGGTGTTTTGGAAGCCTCTTGCTGCTGCTGCTCCGGATCCTTGACTTCAGCATCAGCTGCAATATCCTCATTGCTTCCTTCATCAGTACCGCTTGCCGTTGGCGCAGTGACTTCGCTGTCCTCAGGTTCGGACACATCGAAGTGCATAGTGATCTCTTCCAGCTGCTGGGTGACCCTTGCCTCCGGCTGCTTCTCCCACTTGCCATACATGATGTTCTCCACAAATTTGACATCCCGACTGTCAAACAGCACATTCTTTGAGGGCTCCCAGAGTAGCCACCCCTTGCTCTCTGCCGCAAGCCCAAGGTGCACACACCACAGTGCAGATGCTCCAAGCTTTGTCCTGTACGGTTTAGGGACATGCGCCACTGCCATGCATCCGAACACTCTAAGCATGTCCACTGGAGGCTTCTTTCCAAGCCACCTCTCCAGCGGCACCCACATATCATCAGCCACCTTTGTGAGTACGCGGTTCCTTGCCACTGTAGCATGCCTCACCGCATGAGGCCACATGGAGTTCCCCAGCCCTGATTCGATCAGCAGCACTCGCGCAGTTTCCAGGATGGTCCTATTAGCCCTCTCAGCAACGCCATTTGACTGAGGGGTATAGGACGTTGTTAGCTGATGCTCAATGCCTTGTTTCTTGAGCCACGCAGTCAGATCTCCTCCTAGAAACCCTCCACCTCGGTCGGTTCTGATGCTCTTGCATGGGTGCCCAGATTGTCGCTCGACGAACGGCAGCCAATCATCTCGTATTGTTGAGGCAGCATGATCCTTCTGCTTCAACGGGTATGCCCACATCAGCCGACTCCAGTCATCAACTATTGTCAGGAAGTACCTTTCCCCCTTACTTCCTCGGACTGGAAAAGGTCCTACCAGGTCCATGTGCACCAGTTCCAGTGCTGCCTTGCTTTTCCCAGCTACGCCATGAAAGGGGAACCGTGTGAACTTGCTCAGCAGACACGTCTCGCACTTGGTATCATTTGGTTGCCCAGAAAGCTTGAGCCCCTTTACTGCTTCTTCCTTATGCAGTTGCTGCAGCAATGGCATAGCCACATGCCCTAGACGCTTGTGTGCGGTTTCCCAATCAGTCTCCCCCGACCTTGCAGAAACCGTCACTCCTGCAGCACTAACTGCATTACACTCCCCCTGGACTCCAGATCCCGCCTTTACTTCTCCCAACTCCTTCTTTGTTGATTCCCATATGAGTGCAGGGATCTGCCACATGGATCTGAAGACATCTCTGCTTTCGTGTAAATCCCATAACACACGATCTCCTCGCAGCCCCTTGAATGTTTTGGATCCATTGGTGGTGGTGCTGACTCCGGCCTGGCCTAGCTTGCGCAGCGATATCAGATTGGCCTTCAGCCCCGGTACGAGTAACACGTCCTTCAGCACAACCAGTCCACCATCAGGTGCTCTGAATGCAGCTCGACCAACTCCAGCGACCTTCACTGCATGTCCGGATGCTGAGCGCACTTCAGAGATTGGAGGCGCTCGCACAGCATCCAGCAAGTCCTTGCGTGGTGTCATTGTCCATGCAGCACCAGAGTCCATGACCCACATGTCAAGCGGGTGCAATTCCTCTCCAGCCCTTGCAACAGCTGTGCCACTGTCATCTTTGTCACACACATGGTAGAACTGTCCAGCATTCCTCTCCTCATTTCCCATTCCTCTGTCATCCTTGGAGGTTTCTTCAGCAGGATCAGCTACCATGTTGGCACCTCCATGTGGTTGCTTTCCTCCATTCCCCTTCTGCGATTGTTTCCAAGGGGTCCACCAGTCGGGCTTGGTAGGGCAGCGAAACCATGGATGCCCTTCTTCCTTGCAATACCAGCACTCTCCCCTCAAGCGTGGTTCACTGTTGTCATTGTTGGAGTGACCACCTCTTCCTCTTGCACCAGCGCCACCACGCCCCCGCTGGTTCCAAGTCCCGCGACCACCTTGACTGTGGTAAGAGCGACCGCGATTGCCACGCCCTCGATCCCTCCATGTCCCTTGCATGGCATAGCCGCTGGTGCTGTCATCACCTCCGCGCAGTGTATAGCGACGAAAATCTTCTTCCAGAATCTTGGTGCGAATCCACTCCAATGTCCATTGACTTTGGTTTTGTGGCAAGCTGAGTCCGCTTATAAATTGCAGCCAAGACTCCGGCAGCAGGCTGAGCATCTTGAGACACTTTGTCTGCTCTGGGTACGTGATGCCTGCAATCGCCAATTTCGCGTAGAGTTCCCTCATCTTGTCCAGTACAGGCTGCACAGGTTCATTCTCGCTCAACCGCAGCATGGACAGCTCCCGATCCAGCATGAGAGAAGCGGCAACCGATGTCGGAGCGTGCAGGTCCTTGAGCACTGCCCATGCCTTGGGCCCACAATCAATTTCCGGTAGCAGATGCATGATGTGATGCCTCTGGTTCAGCTCCAAGCTTTGTGACAGTAGATAATACCCAGCAGATGAACGTTCATCCCAGTCCGCTTGCTCTGCCATTTCCTTTGGCCTTGGCTCCGTTCCAATCATGAGCTTCAAGAGGCCAATTTGTCGAAAGTAGAGCTGCATCTTCCATGCCCAATCATCATAGCCATCTCCAGAGAACTTCTCAATGGTGAAGTTCTTCAGCACCTCCTTAAGCAGTGACCCCTGGCGTGTACGCGCTCCCCTTTGCGCTGCAATGCTAGAATCTTGGGTTGAGCTGCCTCCTTGGACTGAAGTATCACCTCCACCAGAGTCCTCTTTATCTCCCATCGTATTTTAGGTCCCAAATGCGTGATAATAGGCTCTGATACCACTTGTTGGTTAGAGAAGGCTATAAGCAGATGATTCAATGGCTCCTTGGAAATTTCTGCAGCACTTCGTTATGACGCCCAGAAAACTCGCGACCGTCGAATAGCTATATCCAAAACTCCAATCGGTGAAACGATCTGAAAATCGGATATGTTGTAGCTGACAGCGTCAGCTTTCCACTGAAAGTTGAATCACTCAATTCCGTAGCTTAACGAGTGAGCTATGGCGTTTGGCGCACTGGGGGGTAATCTGCCCTAGGAGAAGTTGACAGTCCTCAGAGTCACTATGATTGAAGCTTACAAGATCAGAGGCATGATCGAAAAGGCATTGAAGCACAGTTGGAAGGTGGGGTAGGAAGGGAAGGATGAAGGGGAAGGACCCTGGAGGCCCATGGTCAAGAACATGACAAGAGTCAAAGTTTTGACTCCCCATCCTCAGGTTCAGCCAGCCTGGCAAGACAAAATTCACACTGTGCCAGGTTGGCCTCCAAACCCCAAATGCTGCAGCTGCAAGGTGGGGACAAAAGTCCCACACATGCTGGTCCCTCCTCGTTATAGGGCTCTCCAACTTTGGTGTAGCAGCTGACAAGGACTTCCAATGAGTTGTAACAAATCCATCAAACATTTCTTCGTAACTTCTTCATATGTGCTCCGATTCCAACAATTCTTGGCTCGTTGGAATGTGCTCGATGTCATGCACAATCCAAGCACATCTGCACAAGCACAAGATGAACATGCAAAGACATGCAAACCCAACAAACCATACAAACAATGTAGCACACAAAACACATGCAAACGAAATGATGCGAACAGACGACAGGATGACGTGCAAATGAATATGCACCAACATCGTCTTTACGTAGTGCAACTCCACTTCACCCGAAGTTACCATGCTCCTCACCCAATGCCACTTCACCTTCATGTGCTTGGTAAGGCCATGAAGAACCAGGTTCTTAGCCAATGCAATAGCACCCTAGCTATCACAATAGAGTGGGGTAGGTCCTTGTTGCTCCTCCCCCAATTCAGCCAGCAAATGCCGCTGCCACACAACCTCCCTTATGGCACGGAAGAGTGCCATGTACTCGGACTCCACCAAGCTGAATGCTTGGTCCACTTGCTTCTTGCTCTCCCAAGCTGTTGGGCCTCCACCAACCCAGCAGATGAAGCCTCCCACACTTGTCATATCCTTGGGTTCTGATGCCCAAGATGCATCAGAGAAGGCGGTGAGAAAGAGCCTCCCGGGTTCGACTCCATCCGCCCCCTTTTGACGCCTTTGTGCCGCCGCGGAGTATTGCAGTCCAACAGTTGCTGTTTGGCCAGGGTACTTGGCCACTCTCTCTCCAACTGCTACCTGCTCTTCATTCGGTGATTCGACAATCCTAGCCAGCTGCCCGGTAGCAAAGGCTGCATTCGGCCTTGTGTGAACGGCCGCATACATGAGGCTGCCCACCAAGGAGTGAAAACGGCGCCTCTCCTCTTCACCAACACTTTCCTCCGCTGGTCCTTTCACACACTTGAACCCCAAGGGAAGAGGAGTAGCCACATGACCTTCAATCTTCCCAAAGTTTGCAGCCAACGCCTCCAGGTACTTCTTTTGATGCACTCGCATCCACCGCTTCTCCACATCTCGCTCAATGTGAAGCCCAAGGTAGTAGTTGACGTTACCAAGGGTCTTGCACTTGAACTTGGCTTGAAGCTTCAGCATCACCTCCTTCATAGGTCAGAGGAGGGTGAGAATATGAGGATGTCATCCACATAAACCACCATGAAGCTCCTCTGCTCCCCCTCGCCAAGCATGAACAAGGATTGATCGGCCGTTGAGGGAGTGAAGCCGATCGCCTCCAAGACTTCCCGCAGCTTGATGTACCATTGCCTAGGGGCTTGCTTGAGGCCATAGAGTGCTTTCTTCAGATTCCACACTTTGCCACTCCCATCATTGTACCCCTCTGGCTGCTCCATGTAGGTCTCTTCCTCCAAAACGCCGTTGATGAAGGCCGTTACTATAGTGGCGGAAACAATTGTCACATGTTTAGCATGTGGACACATTTTGACGAGCTGTACGCTATAAACATTAAGCCTTAATTCATGGTGGCCATACACGTAGAGAGGAGCAGTTAGAGCACTCACTCAAATCTCCTAAAACCAGAGTAGTATATTTCATGGTCCTTCAAGATGACAACATTTTGTGACAGCACATCCGGACAATTTGTACCGGGGACAGGCAGCAAACTAGTTACTAGCAAAACTAGTACCTAGTCAACCGACACTTGGCCTTGATCACCACCTACACCCTCCTAGGCATGTTATCTATGAGGTTAGTGCAAACCTTTACAGGGATCTTCTCGCACTCTTCCTGGACCCACGCTTTTGCATAAGGGGGTGAGCACTAGGAAAATCGCGAAGTATTTGAACGTATGCAAGAGTACTGTGCACGATTTCATGTTGAATGTTATCTCTAAGACTAGCCATGATGAGGTGTGGCCAAAGATGCCATTAATCGATTGGTCTCGTCTTATCATGGATCGTCTTAATCGCACCGTTGTAGGTAAAAATTACGAGACGAGTGGCGAAAAATTGCGTATCTGCCACGAAACTTAGGGTAACATAGCACGGTGCATCCTTGCACTATTAGAATCATGCTAGGATCCGTATGTCTCTGAGCGGTGCAACAGTCGAAGTAGTCGTGACTGGTGGGGAAAAATATCCGGGTTGAGATCTGGTGAGGAAAAGGGTCACTCCAGCGTAACATACTCGTGTTCTCTAAACCATTCTAAGCCATGTGTCCCGCCTAGGCTTGGAATGGCTCGGAGAGCATGAGTTTATAGCACTGGGGTGACCCTCTTCCTCACCAGACCTGAACCCGGATATTTTTCCCCACCAGTCACGACTATTTCGACTGCTGCACCGCGCAGAGACATACGGATCCTAGCATGATTCTAATAGTGCAAGGATGCACTGTCAACAGTGCTATGTTACCCTAAGTTTCGTGGCAGATAAGCAATTTTTCGCCACTCGTCTCGTAATTTTTACCTACAACGGTGCGATTAAGACGATCCATGATAAGACGAGACCAATCGACTAATGGCATCTTTGGCCACACCTCAGCATGGCTAGTCTTAGAGATAACATTCAACATGAAATCGTGCACAGTACTCTTGCGTACGTTCAAATACTTCGCGATTTTCCTAGTGCTCACCCCCTTATGCAAAAGCGTGGGTCCAGGAAGAGTGCGAGAAGATCCCTGTAAAGGTTTGCACTAACCTCATAGATAACATGCCTAGGAGGGTGTAGGTGGTGATCAAGGCCAAGTGTCGGTTGACTAGGTACTAGTTTTGCTAGTAACTAGTTTGCTGCCTGTCCCTGGTACAAATTGTCCGGATGTGCTGTTACAAAATGTTGTCATCTTGAAGGACCATGAAATATACTACTCTGGTTTTAGGAGATTTGAGTGAGTGCTCTAACTGCTCCTCTCTACGTGTATGGCCACCATGAATTAAGGCTTAATGTTTATAGCGTACAGCTCGTAAAAATGTAAAAATATGCTAAACATGTGGACAATTGTTTCCGCCACTATATATCCATTTGCTTCACCACCCATCCTTTGATGGCCGCTGCGGCGAAGAGGGTTCGAAGGGTTGTACCTTTCACTACAGGGGTATACACTTTATTGTAGTCCTTCTCTTGCTGCTGATATCCCTTGGCTACAAGTCTGCTCTTGTAGCGCTCAATGTTGCCGTCGGCGTCGATCTTGCGCTTGAAGAGCCACCTGGAAGAGATCGCCTTCCGGCCCGGAGGAAGGTTCACCAAGTCAAATGTGTCGTTCTCTATGATGCTCCCCATTTTTTCATCTGAGGCCTTCTTCCACTCCTTCCCATTGGGGCCGTCCCAAGCCTTCTTGGGATTTGTAGGCTCCCCCGGTATCTCCACCAGAGAGAAGAAGGCAAATACGCACTCCTCGCTTTCATCTTCCGCATCATCGCCTAGCATGAAAGCCGAACCGGTCAAGGTTGAGTTGGCTGGTCCTCCAAGCCGGTCATAGCTCAACCTTTTGGGGGGCTGAGTCCTCCTTCTCCCATTTCCTTCCTCCTCTGCTGCAGGGACTTGAATGCTCTCATGGCGTTGCGGTAAATCTGGTCGGTTCCCGCGAGCACTTGTAGCACGAGGCCTAAGTGGCGGTGCACGCTCATCACCTTGCTGCACCTCCTCCTCCTCCTCATCCCCATTCATTTGGGGATATTGCCTCGTGATTGTGCTGCTGCTACTCAGCTCCAAGGGCAGCTCCACATGCTCCAAGCCGGTACCCTTCACCTCTCCAAGCAGCACACCAATCTTCGCTTGGTTCTCCGCCTTCCACTCCTTGTACGGTAAGTTCTCCATGAACTTGCTATCTCTGCTCACCAAGAACTTCTTGGTAAATGGGTCCCAAAGAAGCCACCCCTTGCTGTTTTGGGCCATGCCCAGGTGCACGGCCCATGTTGCCTTGGCATCAAGCTTGTTGTGCCGAAGTTTCTTAGGCACAAGTGCCATGCACATGCACCCGAACACCCGAAGCATATCCACCTTCGGCTTCCTTCCAATCCACTCCACATAGGGCACCCATTTTTCTTCTCCCACGTGAGTCAAGGCACTGTTTTTTACCACACAAGCATGCCGCACCGCATCCGGCCAAAAGTAATTGGGTAGACCGGCTTCAATGAGAAGTCCCCGAGCCGTCTCCGTGAGTGTCCGATTCGCACGCTCGGCGATGCCGTTCATTGCAGGAGAGTAGGGCATGGTAAGGGAGTGTCTTATGCCCTGCTTCTTCAGCCAAGTTGAGAAATCCTTGCTCAGGAACTCTCCCCCACGGTCAGTGCGAATCGCCTTCACAAGCTGGTCTTGTTGCCGCTCCACCATCGGCAACCAATCGGTCTTCACCGTTTCAGCTACGTCACTCTTCTTGGGCAGCACATACACCCAAGTCATGCGAGTGTAGACGTCGACAATGGTGAGGAAGTACTCTGCTCCAGCAGCTCCAAGCTTCAAGGGGCCCACCACATCCATCACCACCTCATCAAGTGGTGCCTTCGCCGTTGTCTTCGAGCTATGGAACGGGTAGCGGGTGAACTTGGCTTGCATGCATTCTGGACAGCCAAGCACGTCATTGGGCTCCCCCTTGACACATATCCCACTAACCATCTCTTGCTTAACTATCTGCTGCAAAATGGGCAAGGCCACATGCCACATTCGCCGCTGCAAGGTCAGCCAATCACACTCTCCCGTAGCGGAAGTCGGGTTGGAGAAAGCGGCACTCGCAATTGTGCCCCACAAGCTCTCTCCTTTCTCCTTTCTCGCTGCTGCTTTGCTGATCTTAGCCTT